GATGGTATTGAGGTGCAAAGCAGCTGGGGGCTGCGGGAATGATGACCCTGCTCAATGGGGAGGAGGGACCGCCAGCTGTAAAAGCTGACTTTGGTGGTGACCCTTGAAGAACCGGGCGTGCTGTGGAGTGATTTACCGATATTTGGGTGCTTTATTGTCCTTCTGGGCTTTTATTTTTCCCCCCCACCCACCCTTCCATTTGGTTTCTCAGTGGGACCCTTTGTGGCCCAAGAGGGGACGGGGTGGGCTGAGCTCAGAAATGCCCCCGGTGCAGGCAATGGGGTGGGGGTTTGGGGGTGTACGCAGCGCGTCGTGGTGGCTTAGTTAGCCACAGCTGTGATATGGATGAGGTGGTTCATTAGGGAAAGGAGATAATGAGTTAGATGAGACAACCCCAGCGCCGGCTTCCCAGCCAAGGCTCAAGGGTCTGGTTTCGGTGGCTGCTGGGCGTCTCGTTATCAACCCTGCCATTAAAAAGTGGGGTCCTGGTGGGTTTTGCCAGCTGTGTTCCCCTCGTCCTCCTTGAACCAAGCTCAGAGAGAAGGAAAAGTTGCTTTTAACTTCCCCACGCGTGGCCTTGCTCTTCAGAGTGGGGTGGACCCTACGTCTTGGGGGGGGCGGGTGCTCGTGTTTTGGTGGTGGCCCCGTGATGCTGGTTGCTAATTGCCAGGCCCTCATTTGGGTCAAGGCAATTGAGAGTAGCATCGAAAGGACCATCTTTTCTTGCTGTCCCTTGAAGGAGATGACTTGCTGGAGGTCACCACCGCCTTCTGCAGAGGTTGGGACAGTGGGAGCGTAGCCCGTGGCCCTGGAGAGGGGTGGTTGGTGATGCAGCTCCTGAGGGCATCTGGGCAGAGCATCCCTGGAATCTCCACTCTGCATCAGCAAAGGCACTGTTTGCATTAATACCATTTTATATTTTTTTTTGGTGCAAAAAAGGCTTTGTGCTAATTGTAGTGTTTTTGATGGTGCCATTGATTGACCAGGTGATTTGTGTCTTCATTAGTTTGAGGCTAAAGCTTGGAGGTTGGTATAGATTCCAGGCACTTAATATGCAAAGTGGTAATAACTGTTTAAGCCTATATTGTTTGAGTTAAATTTAGCTGAGAATTCAGTCACGTCAGGCTCTCTACATTGTGCGCCGTGAAGGTTATCTGGCTCTCAAGAGGGGGTGGATTTAAAGGAAGGAAAGAAACGCCGGTGAAAACTTCCTCTTCTCATCATCCCCGAGCGCTTTTGCTTTCCCAGGGCTCGTTGTGTGTGTGGGGGGGCAGAAATAAGGAATAATGTGGTTGTGACTCCGAGTGGTTCTCCTGAACCTGCGCCGTCTGCTCAAGCTGCTCACTTTGGGGGGGACTCGACATGATGCTATAAATCTGAACAAAGTGCTGCCCGATGTTGGGGCATGGTCCTTCTCCTCGCAGGGGACCTGGGGAGCCCCTGCTCAGCTGCCACCCCCCCCTACACTCCCCCCTTCTATTATCCTGCAGCCCTCCTGCATCTCAGCTGCTGGCCCATCTGGAGCGGAGATGAAAGGCTGGGCTTTAATTCGGGCTTTGTGTCGCCTCTTGTGTTTTTCCCCCCCCCACCTCCTCCTCCTCCTCCTCCTCCTCTTCTCCTCTTCGCCCTTTCTCCGCTGCCAGTCTCCCATTCCCAGAGCGCGGAAGCTCTTCCGCACCGGGTCCCTGATGCCACCGACCTCATTATTTTGACTGCTGGGTGATGCCAGGCAGCCCGGCGAGCTCCTCAGGTAGGAGGGTTGGGTTGGTTGGGGTTGTGTGTTGGTTTTTTTTTCATTTCCCCTTCTCTGGAAGCAGTCACTGCTGAATAATTCAGGCGGGAGTAGGCATCTTGGGTCACCTTGCGCAGCCGGCTGCGTGCCGGAGCTGCCTTCCTAAGATGGAGGTTGCTCAGGATGCGTGTGGGGTGGCCTCGGCAGCTCACCACCCTTGACTGCCCGCAGGTAGGCGAAGAGCTTTGCCCTTCTTTCTTGATTTCTGAAGCTTTTTACGCTGGAGAGCATGAAATCCCCTCCCTGGGGGTGGCTGGGTCTCACCCAGCTGGTGGGGAGCCTGGTGGGCTCTCCCCATGGGGACACACGAGGCTGCTGGGGCCACCGTCCTTCATCAAAACTTCCCCATGGGTTGTGGGGCAGGTCTGGCCCCAGGCAGGGACCGTGCCCCCCATGCTCTTCTCCTTTGGCCATCCTATTTTTCTTGCTGGTTTTACGGGTTCCCCAGTGCCTCCTCCCCCAGCCCATCTGGACCCATGGTGGGGTAAGTTTTTGGGGCTGCCTGTTGGCACGGCACTAAGAGGAGGGGGGGGTGACCCCAATGCTCTGGCAGCACGGGGACATGTTGGGAAGGTGGCATTTAGCTCTCTGCGCCGTCTGACTGGGGGAACTGGTTCTGGTTGGTGTGGATGGAGGGTCAGGTGCTGGAGAGGTCTCTAAGGTGGTGGGGGGGGACAGGAGGTGGCTGACCCTGAAGATGAGAAGCTCAAAAACGCCTGGGAAGTTCCAGGGATTGGAATCACCTGGGAAAGGGGGATGTTGGCATGAGAACTGGGGGGCTCCTTCGCTGCCTTTCCTCCTGCTGGCAGACACCTGGGGTTTTGGGGGGCTGGCTCCTCCTTTGCACCCTGGGTCGAATGCAAACGTCGGTGCACCCTCCCTCCTCCCCACAGCCCTTGGGTGCTTTGCTGAAGCAGCTCAAGAGGCATCTGGGGATGGGGGGGGAAAAAAAAAACCAACCAGGGGACGTGGAGGGTGTGAGGCTCTGGGGATGGGGAGGGATTGTGTTCTGCTGCCTCAAGATGTTTGGCGATGATGATGTCCTTGTTGGTGTCACCGCAGGAGGAAGGACAGCCAGGCTGGGCTATTTCTGTCCCACGGACCATGGGTGCAGCCTGGCACTGGCCCTGCATCCCTTGGCAGGCACGGGAGCCTGGTGGCCACTCTGCATTGGCATCTGCTCCCGTGGCCAGGGAAATCAAGGATGCGGCTACTGCAGTGTCTGCCCCGGAGATTTCCCAGTTACCCGGCTGTGCTGGTGGGACTGGGCTTTTCCGATGGCCCCTCTGCCACGGGGTGCTTGTGTGACCTGACATGGTGGCTCCTGATGCTCTTGGAGATCAGAGAGATCCTCGAGGCTGGGGTGGTGGGCAGGGGGTGCAGTTGGGGTGCCCCTCGCAGTCTGGGCAGTCCTGCCTGTTCAGGGATGTCTGCGATGCAGAGAGGCAGGAGAGGAGATGGCTGCTCCGTAGCAGGGCTTGGATGGTGAGGGGGTTTGGGTAGGACCACCTCCCCTGCTTTGGGAGACCTGGCTGAGACAACCTGCAGCAGCGTGGGGAGAACAAAATTCAGATGGAGACCTGGGCTGAGGGTGGCTGAACATCCCAGGGCTGTGTCCTTGGGACATGGGGTCCCTGCAATGTCCATGGCCACTCGGTGTGCCCTGGGAAGGATGGCTGTGGTGTCTGGGGTGGTGGCATGTCCCCCCCCCATGGTGCTATCCCACTGGGGTGCCCTGCTGTGGCCCTGAGCTGGTGGGAAGCCCTGCAGCCAGGCTGGGTAAATGGATGCCAGTTGAATCCTTCATTTCAGACAGGAAATTTCCCTCCCTGCTCCCCTGCCAAAACAATTCCCAGGGCTGTGATGCTCTGGGAAGCACTGGGGTGAGAGAGATGGAAAAATTGTTGGCTCGGAGGGGAGGATGAATCCCTCAGGAGAGTGGTGGGGAAACCACCTGGGCTTCGTTTGCTGGGGTCAGCTCTGCTCCAGGGCTGGGTTTGCTGCCACCCTGGCCGTGTCCCCTGTCAAACACTTCTGCCTTCAGACCTGAAGTACCTAAGGGAGGGCAGTGACCCAGGGGGGACATGTCCTCCCCAGGTGCAGGGCACCCTGTGGCTTTGTGCCGGGGTTGTGGAGGAAAGCAGGGATGCAGGATCCTCCAGCAGGGATGCTCCATGCTGGGCATCAACAGGGCTGGTGGCACCTGGGGCTCCCTGCACCCAGGACAGCATCAAAAGGGGCATATTTGGCACAGGGATGTTTTAGGTTGGTGGAGAGGGGTGTACAAGGTGGCTGGGTTGGGGGGTGAGGCAGTGGTTGGGATCTCCTGCCCACCCCATACTTTGCTCCCTGGATGCTTGTTTATCTTCTCGTTAAGGGTGGGCAAAGCATCACCTGCAACACCTGGGAACCAGCAGAGCTCAAGGGAACAATTTTCCCCCTACAGCACCTCAGCTGCTCCAGCTGAGCAGAATGAGCTGCTCGTGGAGCCACCTGGGCTGTCCCCACCCCATGGGGACCACCACTCTGCAGTCTTTTTTCCTTTGGTCTTTCCGCCGTGCGACTTCTGGCTTCACCCACCGGGATGGGAGAGGCCAGAGGGGTGGTAGAGCACCAGGTTCACTTAATGGGAACAAAACCTGCCCCGAAAAGCTTCGTGGGGTCTCCTTGCACCAACCTTTGGGGCTTTTTTGCCTTTCATGCTGCGATTGATGCTCACTATCCCCATCTCTCCCCGCAGGTGAGCGTGGCAGGCTATGGGATGGATGAAGCTGAGCAGGACCAGTATGAAGCTCGCCTCAAGGAGCTCTTCGACAGCTTTGACAGCACGGGCACGGGGTCCCTGGGGCAGGAGGAGCTCACTGACCTCTGCCACATGCTGCACCTGGAGGAGGTGGCCCCGGCGCTGCAGCAGACCCTCCTCCAAGGCAACCTCCTA